ATGTCAATTTGGGCCTGTCACTTGACCTCCTTTTCCCCAGGTTTTTATCGATTTTTGTCCCTGCAGTTCTTTTAGGCAAGAACATTTCTGGGTCAGAGTTTTTGACTGTGGGAAAGCAACCACATACCTCCACTTGATGCCTTGTCTTTCAACTGGTGGTAGACTCTACAAGTTCCCTCTCCCCACTGAAGGGCATATCTTCTAAGGTCTCTCCCTTTGAATCCTTAGAGTCTTCATCTCCTATGTCTATGATACATTCTAGAGGGTCTCCCAACCTACTACCTTCTGAGGTTGCTTGTTTCCATTCTTGTTGATGGCCCTCAGGGCTTCAGTCTTTTTTCCACCACTGAATACATGATCATGGTGCCTTTTTCCCCTCCCTGTCCCCTCTGCCACTCAGCTCCCTCACTAGCTCTGCCCATGATTGTTTTTTTCTTCTCCTTCCCAAGTGGGATTGAGGCATCCTCACTTGGGCCCTACAGGTTGTTAACCTTCTTGAGTTTTGTGGATTATATCCTGAATATTCTGTACTTTTTTGGCTAACATCCACTTATTAGTGAGTAAATACCATGCATGTCCTTTTGTGCCTGAATTACCTCACTCAGGATTATATTTTCTAGTTCCATCTATTTGCCTGCAAAACTCATGATGTTCCCATTCTTAATAGCTGAGTATTATTTCAGTGTGTAAATGAAACACATTTTCTATATCCATTCTTCTGTTGTGGGACATCTAGGTTGTTTCCAGCTTCTGGCTATCACATGTAAGGCCCCAATGAACAGAGTGAAACATGTGCCTCTGTGGCATGGTGGAGTATGTTTTGGGTATATGCCCAAGGTTGGTATAGCTAGGTCTTCATGTAGATCTATTTCCAATTTTCTGCGGAACCTCCAAATTGATTTCCAGAGTGGGTGTACCAGTTTGCAATCATTCTAGCAATGGAGGAGTGTTCCTCTTTCTCCATATCCTCGCCAACAAGTTTTGTCACCTGAGTTGTTGATCTTAGCCACTCTGATTGGTGTAAGGTGGAATCCCAGGGTCAGTTTGATTTGCATTTTCCTGATCACTAAGGTCTTTGAACATTTCTTTAAGTGCTTATCAGCCATTCGAGATTCCTCTGTTGTGAATACTCTGTTTAGATCTATATCCAATTTAAGATTTGGTTGTTTGGCTTTTGGTAGTTAGCTTCTTGAGTTCTTTATATATTTTGGATATTAGCCCTCTATCACTTGTGGTGTTCATGATTTTTTTTTCTAATGTCTAGGTTGCCGATTTGTCCTATTGACTATATTCTTAGACTTACAGAAGCTTTCCAGTTCATGAGTTCCCATTTATCAATTCTTGATATTATAGCCTGAGCCAATGGAGTTCTAATTAGGACATTTTCCCTTTTAACTTTCTCCTCTATTAGATTTGGTGTATCTGTTTTTTTTTTTTTTTTTTTTTTTTTTAGGCCTTTGATCCACTTGGACTTGAGCTTTGTGCAAGGTGACAAATATGGATCTATTTTCATATTTTCTACATACAGGCTTCCAGCTAGACCAGCACCACTCATTGAAGATTCTTTCTTTTTTTTCCCTTGTATATTTTTTGCTTCTTTGTCAAAGAATAAGTGTCCATAAGTGTGTGGTTTTACTTCGGTGTCTTCATTTTTATTTCATTAATCAACCTGTTTGTCTCTGTACCAATACCATATCATTTTTATCACTATTTCTCAGTAGTATAGCTTGAGGTCAGGGATTATGATTCCCCCAGAATTTCTTTTATTGTTAAGAATTGTTTTTGTTATTCTGTTTTTTCCAGATGAATTTGAGAATTGCTCTTTCTATGTTTTTGAAGAATTGTGTTGGAATTTTGATGAGAATTGCATTGAATCTGTAGATTGCTTTTGTCAAGATGGCCATTTTTAGTATATTAATTCTACCAATCCATGAGCATGAGAGATTTCTCCATTTTCTAAGGTCTTCTTTGATTTCTTTCTTGAGAGACTTGTCATATAGATCTTTCACTTGTTTGGTTAGAGCTACCCCAAGAGTTAAAGAGTTTGTGATATATATATATATATATATATATATATATATATATATATATATATATATCACATTAGATTTCATCTAGTGATAGAAAGTATGGATAGTCCACAGTATGTGAGACAGGCTTTCTTGCCTTTTTACTTGGAGAGTACCTAATGTGACAATAATAAAATGTATGTGATACTGAACACAGTTGATGTGAAAGAATAATGAAGCATAAAGAATCAGGAGGGGTTCAGTGTGACAGTAGATGGAATGGCAGAGTGTAAGAGTGAATGTGAGGAGGGTTAACTAGTACTGACCTAGGAGGAACGTCGTTTGCAATCCTACTACTGCACAAGCTTCCTACAATATACTCCTGTAGAAAAAGAGTTTAAATGGGGTTGCCCTATCATTGGTTGAAAATGTTTTTCTTAGACATCATAGGCCATCAAAGAAAAACCCAGAACCAGGAATGAGCTACCTTTGTGTGGAGTTGTTTACTAGTAGTGCCGTATGAAACTCCCAATATTATAGGCTTTTGGTTATATCTAAAACTGCTGATTAGTCCTATTGAGGAAGACACCATATAATCAACTCATAACTGATTGAGAAAGTAAGCTTCTACTTCAAAGTCCATTGTCTAGAATGTTTACGAAAAAAACATTTCTATGCCTACATATGTTTTGTTCTTGCATTTATTTATTCTTTGTTATATTCATTCATGAAAACAATACTTAAACTATATTCATCTACATATAATTCCAGAGTCCAAACAGTCAATTCAAACATAAAGGCCTGAAAACAAGCTAAAATAGTTTCCCATTAAAATCGCAACTCAATTCTTCGTAGAGTTAGAAAGAGAAATTCTCAAATTCATTTGGAATAACAAAAAAACCCAGGATAGCAAAAACTATTCTCAACAATAAAAGAACTTCTGGAGGAATCACCATCCCTGACCTCAAGCTGTACTACAGAGCAGTAGTGATAAAAATCTTCATGGTATTGGTACAGAGACAGCCAAGAAGATCAATAGAATAAAATTGAAAACTCAGAAATGAACTCACATACCTATGGTCACTTGATCTTTGACAAAGGAGCAAAAACTGTCCAGTGGAAAAAGGGCATAATTTTCAACAAATGATACTGTTTCAACTGGAGGACAACATGCAGAATAATGCAAATTGATCCATTTTTATCTCCTTGTACAAAGCTCAAGTCCAAGTGGATAGATAAAGTACCTTCACATAAAACCGGATACACTGAAACTAATAGAAGAGAAGGTGGGGAAGACTCTTGAATACCTGGGCACAGGGGAAAAGTTCCTGAACAGAACACCAATGACTTATGCTCTAAGATCAAGAATTGACAAATGGGACCTTCTAAAATTGCAAAGTTTCTGTAAGGCAAAGAACACTGCTAATAGGACAAAACAACAACCAACAGATTGGGAAAAGATCTTTACCAATCCCACATCTGATAGAGGGCTAATATCTAATATATACAAAGAACTCAATAAATTAGATTCCAGACAATCAAATAACCCTTTTAAAATGAGGTACAGAGCTAAACAAAGAATTCTCAACTGAGAAAACTCGAATGGCTGAGAAGCACCTAAAGAAAAGTTCATCATCCTTAGTGACAGGGAAATACAAATCAAAATAATCCTGAGATTCCACCTTACACCAGTCAGAATGGCTAAGATCAAAAACTCAGGTGATAGTAGATGCTGGCGAGGATGTGGAGAAAGAGGAACATTCCACTATTGTTGGTGGGATTGCAAGATATGTCCCAAAAAGGGATGGCAGATATGGTCATCAATTTGAACTCTTGTTAAGTAACTATTGGAAGTTGATGAATCCTTTGAGAAACCCCATCCATTTCAAGGATGGATCCCTTACAGGCTACCCACTCTCAAGCATATTACCCTCAAACACACACACACACACACACACACACACACACATAGAGTTAATACTTAATATGCACAGTGTGTTAAATAATTGAAAAGAATGAATGAATTGGGGAGGCAATAGTGACAGTAGGATGGGAGAAGAATTGAAAGAAAGACATCAGAGATAAACTTCCTCAACATACATTGACTGATTGCATAAAACTATGAAACAAAACAAAATTGTTTACCTCTATATGAGCGAAAGTCATTACTATTGAACTAATTTGTAAGTACCATAGCAACAAAGCCTGATCTCTTGGGAAAATACTTGGGGAATATCAGCCAGTTTTTAATCAGGTCCCTGCAGTGACAAATCATAAAACCCTCTTGGGTCATTACCAGGTGGCTCTCTGTCATCAGTAGATGCTATTTACCAACCACTATTATAAAGAAATAATTACAGGAAAAAGTACCACATGAAATCTTGACCCAGAACTCATGCTCCTCAGAATCCAAAAGAATGAGGGCTCTGGATTTTCCAGTCCAAAATTAATTTGCTCATCTCCAAAAAGACAAACCAGGTAACAACAGAAAGTATTTTTTCTGTACTATTTACCTTTATAGCTCTTCCATGCCATTTGCCCTTGCCCTCCTGTGAGAGCACAAGAGTCAGTAAAGACACTTGTCCAGTCTTGAAGCAGAAATGTAAGTATTGGATTGGATGGGTGCATGATTTTCTTTCCTCTAACTACAACCCAGCAGCACAGTGAGGCTTAGATGTGCTTTGTCTCTTTTCTTTTGAAATTGTTACTGAGCCTGAAATGGGAGGTGAATTGTCAAGGTAGAAGTAGACTGAGCTGCTACAGAGGCAATAATGGTCACTACTTCCCAAAATATTATTCCCAAGAAATGGCTTCAATGTATTTATGATTATTTCTGTACTATAACTCTCATAAAATGTAATAAACGAAGGCATAGAAAATTGTGAGCTTGAATTTATTTTTATACTTTGGCTCTCAGTCTCACCTTAATGTGATAGGTTGATAGGTGTGGGGATTTCATTTTAATGCTATATTTTTACTGTTCTTACAGATATGACCTAGGGAAGAATGGCTTTAGGAAATGACTCTTCAGTGAAAGAATTTATCTTGCTGGGCTTGACACAGCAGCCAGAGCTCCAGCTGCCTCTCTTCTTCCTCTTCTTGGGAATCTATGTGGTCTCCATGGTGGGGAACCTGGGCTTGATTGTTCTGATTGTGTTGAATCCTCACCTGCACACCCCCATGTACTACTTTCTCTTCAACCTTTCCTTCACAGATCTCTGCTACTCCTCTGTCATAACCCCCAGAATGCTGGTGGGTTTTGTGAAGCAGAACATCATCTCTCACGCTGAGTGCTTGACTCAGCTCTTTTTCTTTGCCTTCTTTGTTATTGATGAATGCTACATCTTGACAGCAATGGCCTATGACAGATATGCTGCCATTTGTAAGCCCTTGCTTTACCAGGTCACCATGTCTCATCAGGTCTGCCTCTTTATGACAATGGGTGTGTATTTGATGGGCTTTTCTGGTGCCATGTCCCACATAGTGTGCATGCTGAGACTCAACTTCTGTGATGGCAACATCATCAATCACTATGTATGTGATGTACTTCCTCTCCTTAAACTCTCCTGCACAAGCACTTCCATCAATGAGCTGGTACTTTTCATTGTTGTGGGTGTCAATGTAATAATACCCAGCCTGACTCTCTTTGTTTCTTATACCTTCATCCTTTCCAACATCCTCAGCATCCATTCTTCAGAAGGTAGGTCAAAAGCCTTCAGTACCTGTGGCTCCCATGTGATAGCTGTTACTCTTTTCTTTGGAGCTGCAGCCTTCATGTATCTTAAGCCTGCTAGTGCATCTGTGGATGAAGATAAAATATCTACCATATTTTATACCATTTTGGGCCCAATGCTGAATCCTTTTATCTACAGTATAAGGAATAAAGATGTCCACCTTGCCCTGAGAAAAACTTTGAAGAAAAAGATATTTATGTAATTAGGATGTGTAATTGTTAAAGTCACAAAACTTAGGACATATGATGTTTAGAACTTGGAGTAGACTTGAGAAGGGACTCATTTTCACACATTTGTTTACATTCATGAGGCCCTAGATTTGACCTACAGTCTTGAAAAATATTAATGGCTAGTACAATAAAAATAACGTAAAGTCAAGAATCAAACAAAAACAAATGGAGTGCAAATGCGGAATTGAAATTATCTAACAGTCTATAATGTTAAGTCTATTATTGAGGAAATTTTAGACATAATGACAGCAAAGGTAAGTAATCCAGCATTCTTTTAGGGTAAAGAGAAGAGTTTATTCTGTAGTTTTCCAAAATTATATATAATTCTGTTTTTCAGTATTGAAAAACACAAGAGTAATATTTGGGCAGCCGTCTACATGTATAGTACATTCTACCCTTAGAAATCATGAGGATTTAAGCACAAAATACTAGTTGATACTATGCTCTGTAATGGAAGGGTCAAGGTATTTTTAAACATTTTTTATCTATTTTTTCAGTTTATGTGGGGGAGCTCATGTTCAGGCTTTCTTGCATGCTAGCTAAGTGCTCTACCACTGAGCCATATCTTAAGCACAAGTATCAGAAGTTTGATTTGAGTACATCTAGAAATCTTATCTTGATGTGCCACTGAAATACTGATTTCAATAATCTTAATGACAGCATCTTATGTATTCTGTTAATAAGCCCCTGAGAATATTTGTAGGCAGGTTGGTTTTGAAAAGTTCCTTTGTTTCTCCAAAGGCTGAGGATAGATGGGAAATGCTTTCTAATTTCATCTTTTCTCTACAGTCTTAAAGCAGTCTGGTAAAGAGAGAGGAATTGATAAGTCTGTTGTGATTTCAATGTTCTCAGACTGAAAATGAAACAATTTAGTTAATTGATGGCAAAGGGAACCTTTATTAGATATTTCCCTCATGAAGTTGAGGGTGAATGTGTGTGTCTATGTATGTGATATGTCTCCATTTGGAACAATATTATTAAGCAAGTTTCCTAGTTATTGGTAGAGGAAATTTGTCTTTTACCCAAACAATCATATAGTATCATTATCACTCTGTTATTTCCATTTAATAATTTCACTTTCATCCTGTCTCAGAGTTCCACATACAGTGATGCAGTTGATTGAAGTAGGAAATATAAACAGAGCTTGCATCCTATTTTAGACATCAAGACTTTTGTAGACTTTGGTCAAACAATAGTATAGTCAAATAGTATACACAGAGAGTCCAAATTGAAGGTCTTCTCTGAGGAGCTTGGGGAATCCCAAGGAATAGAGGACAGGAGAGTCATTAGAGTCAGAGGAAATAGAAGACCCTAAGAAAACAGGACCTACTGAATCAAGTAAACAGGGCACATATGGGCTCACAGAGTCTAAAGTGGCAAGCAAGCATGTAGCCTGCACGGGCCTGCACTATGTCCTCTACATATGTATTGTGGCTCTTAGTTTGGTGCTTTGTGGGTCTTCTAACTGTGGGAGTGGGAGTGTCTTTGATTCTTTTTGACTGCTCTTAGGAGTCTTCTTCCTGTTGGTTTGCTTTGTCTAGATTTGGAATGGGGGGTGGGGGGTAAAAATATTTAAAAAAATACAGCTCTGAAGAAAAGTGAAGATCCTTGTTATCATGGAAGTAAGAGGATAAAATAATTGTGTCTGTGAATTTTTATTAGAAAAATGATCCACAATGTCTTGAGCAAATGTAATTGTACATTTTACTGTGAACAATTTTCTTCATATCTTGGGTTAGCTGGTAGGAAGTGTTCTTTCTGAGGAGATGGTAGGTGGCCTGACTGAGGATAGGGTTCTTTACTGAACATTAAGCAGAGGGACAAGGTGAACTTAGTTTCAGATTCAGGAACAAACTTTACGATGATTAGGAATGGTTATAGGAGACAGACTAATGGTATTGAAGCAGGCATCGCTGAAGAATATGTATACAAATGTAAATCAGGTTATATTGGTCCTTTGTAAGAGATAAGAATGAATGTCAATAAGCACAATAAAAACTATGATATGAATCATACAATGGACTTTATTTTCTTTCGTTCCCCCATATTCTGAAACCCAGTCAGTGTTCATTTATAATCAATCTGTAGTGAAATTCATGAAACAAAATTTAAATAACAAAAATTTTCCTGACCTGTGGGAGGGATGATTTTTCGTTGCTACTTATACACACTTGGAAAATTACTCAGTGACAGTGAAATGTCAGTTGATGTGACAACATAAATTAATTGGGAAACTGTTAACCTCATCTGATCCCTTCCCCTTCAGGAAACTGTGTCAAATGGAAAAACCAGGGAACTGGTCTGGTTTTGTGTCTGGGTTCTGTAAGTTTTGAGTCTTTGACCTCTGGATCCTAGATTTTGCACAGCTAATATTAAAACTGCTGTGGTATACAATAAATGAATGTTGCAAAATTTAAAAGTACTATATTCTATGTTTTAAATATTATATGCAAAGGATATAAACATGTAACCTTTTTTTCACTTATTGTTTTCTGAAGTTAGTGCGTACTTAATACTTAAAGGCCTTGCACTGCATCCTTATGTTTTATTTTGACTTGAGAAAGATTCTGTTGTGTAGCCCAGGGTGGCTATGAAATTATGATCCTCTTGATTTTGACTCTTGAGTTCTAAGATCGTATGGATGCACCACTACTCCATGCTTTTCAACTTTTATGTTGATGGCTTGCTGGCAGTTCCACGTAGCTGCCGTTGCTAGTATCTGTATAAGAAACTTTTGGGGTCACTATCACTGTATTTGATTTAGGGAAGAATTTGTGTTAATGCATACCTGGAGTTAACTCATGGCTACTTAAGATATATATATATATTTTCAGTTGTACGATCAGTTCAAACTTCAATATAGAATGCAAATATAGCTTTTCCGTTTTCTGCGGCCCTCGCAGCCGTTAGCAGCAAAGTCTCACGGGATACCCTGTAGAGGCGGGAAGTCCTGCACGGGAACCAGCGCAAACGCCGCAAGTTTCTGGAGACCATGGAGCTGCAGATCAGCCTGAAGAACTACGAGCCTCAGAAGGACAAACGTTTCTCGGGGACCATCAGGCTTAAGTCCACCCATCATCCCAAGTTCTCGGTATGCGTCCTGGGGGACCAGCAGCACTGTGACGAAGCCAAGGCCGTGGATATCCCCCACATGGACATCTAGGTGCTGAAGAAACTCAACAAGAACAAGAAGTTGGTCAAGAAGCTGGCCATGAAGTACAATGCCTTTCTGGCCTCCGAGTCTCTGATCAAGCAGGTCCCACGTATCCTGGGCCCAGGCCTGAACAAGGCCGGCAAGTTCCCCTCCCTGCTGACACACAATGAAAACATGGTGGCCAAGGTGGACGAGGTGAAGTCTACAATCAAGTTCCAGAAGAAGAAGGTTCTGTGTCTGGCTGTGGCTGTCGGCCACGTGAAGATGACTGATGATGAGCTGGTCTACAACATCAACCTGGCTGTCAATTTCTTGGTGTCTTTGCTCAAGAAAAACTGGCAAAACGTCTGGGCTCTGTATATCAAGAGCACCATGGGCAAGCCCCAGCGTCTATATTAGGATGCTCCAATAAACCTCAGAGCTGACATCCAAAAAAAAAAAAAGAATGAAATATAATTTGTCTCATGTAAAACACGAATCAACATATAGGGAAAATAACAATATTCAAAAATAGTTAAGGAAATGTGCTTTTGTTTTTATTGGATATTTTATTTACATTTCATATGTTGTCCCCTTACCCCTGGGAATGGATACAGTATTTTCCCATGCTAGACAAGCACCAGTACTCATGAGTTCATTTTGAAAGGATTTTATTGGAGAAATAGTACCTTTTTTATATATTTATTTATTTGTTCATTTAATTCAAAGCAATAATACCCAAGAAATCAAGGTTACCGGAAGTCATACAATCTATGTCATTATGTCTGAGACTCATGCACAAACTGGCGAATGTATTTAAAGCCTTTCTGAAGACGGTAAATTGTTGACCTGTCTGTAAAATAGGACTGTATATGTACATATAATTTGATCCTTTCAGTAAAATTATAGACAGTATGTGATTTCATGTCAGTGTAGGGTGACAGCTTCCATTGTCTCTTAGTGATATGAAACACAAGATCAAGCCTTACTAATCTTGATATTGCTGCATTAGAACAGTTCCACACTGTCTTCACTTTCCTTGCAGATTAGTGGTTATAATGCAGGTGTGTTCCTGCGGGAGCTTTTGTTGGTGTCCCACCTCCCAGGACAGTGGACTGGCTGTAACAGTACTCTTAATGATGTTATTAGTTTAAGACACATATAAGTAAATTTGCAATGTTAAGATGAGCCCTAAACCAATCTGACTAGTGTCCTTATTATTAAAATGATTTGGGATAGGTATAGATCAGGAATGAACATACACATAGGAAGGAGCAGGTGAGAACACAGCAAAAGCAGACATCTGTAAACCAAACAGAGCCGTCTTAGAAGAAATAAAAGCCCCACTTGATGATGAACTTTTAGCCTCTGGAGATTCAAGAAAATAATCTCCACTTGTTTAGGCCATCCAGTCTGTTGCAGTATTTAATGAATTTTTATGGTAGAATTAAGCAAGTGACACAGTGGTAGGAATATAATTTTTGTGCCACCTGTTAAACATAAGCCTTCTATGCTATGGATTGCTTCGTCATTGTACTATATATAGCCATTCCTCTTTTTACTTTTGTGTTTGGAACAAAGTCTCAATGAGTTATGCATGTTGACTGTAATCCAGTTCTGGAGTTCAGGGAGGTGTTGAATTCAATATCCAGAGTTGATAGTATTATAGGAATGTAACACAAGGCCCAGCTACTTTATATTCTTAAGAGCCTACAGTGAGCAAAATGACAACAAAGCAAAGAAACAAAAATGCTCCCAGTTATGGTGACACATAGTCTTACACATAGGAGTCTAAGGCATGAAAATGACCAGTCAAAGGCCTTCCTGAACCACATAGTA